AAATGAAAAAATTATATAAATGGGTGCTGTAGTAGAAAGAGAGGGGAGCAGGGGGAGCAGGTGGGGTGGGGGTGGAAGTTGAGGCCGCTCCGCCTTGGCTGAAACATTTTCGCAGACAACGTGCACTGAAGATGAGCGCTGCCAATGGAGGCGTGGCGCGGAGCAACGCCGGAGTTGGCCGAAAAAAGCAAAAGCAAAATCGTGACTGTCATTTCAACGAAGCGAAGTTATTTTTCATGACAAAGCAGCCGAGAGCAGTCCTCCGACTCATTTCGCCAGCCGGCGGTAAGGCAGATAATGGCGACAGGGATCGGAACAGTTGTACGGGCCAAGCGATGCCAGCGGATGGCTAAGCGGCAGGCGGTGTGGTGGTGGGGCAGCTGCACGGGCTACATGATGTTCTCGTTGTAGCTGAAGCTGCGAAAGGGGGGGGGAGGGGGTGGAGTGGGAGCAGTGCAGGCTGAGCATTCCAGCGTTAAAATACCTTTTACTGGCACATTACCAGCAACGCGCGACTGCCCAAACAGCGCGCGCACAGTGGCATCACAGTCACACTCGCACACACTAACACACTCACATACAGCAGTTGCCGCCCACTTGCCACCCACGAAGTAAGCCAAAGTCAGCTGAAGCTCAAACAAAATGCAGCGCTGTCGGCGTCGCTGCGTTTTTCATGAAATTATTACGACTTTGGAAATGGGGTCGTACAAAATGTCGTTACGTTTAGAGGCGCCCCCTTGCCACGCCATGGCCCCCCTCAGCATTACCCTTTATACGTCTGCCTTGATGTTCGTTTTAGTTTATTGTATCTGCCGAAAATGTTTGGAAATTGGTTAAAGTTAAAGCCCAAATTGAGAGCAAGCTGTGTGTGTGTGTGTGCGTGTGTGTGGGCTCATCATAAAGGCCTTAAGTTATAAGAAAACACATCAAATTCTATTTACTGGTATGCTCAAGACTCTAAGCCTAATTGTTGACAAGCTAAACATCAGCAAAGAGCAAGAGGGAAAGCAGTAGAAAGAGAGAAGAGGAGAGAGAAGACTGATTGAAATGCTGAGATTGATCGAAAGGGGGCAGCAAAAGTGGGCGAGGGGCCCAACCAGCGAGTGGCCCAGAGAGAATGTGGCATCACCTGAGGTGACCCACAAAAATGTCGCATCTCATCCATCTCTCGGCTGGCCAGTCACTGAGAAATGTTTGTCGCGCGCTCGTAAAGATCGCATCAAAAAACAAAAGCGAGAGAGAGAGAGAAAGAGAGATAGAGATTACTTTTATTTTTTATATACCAGGCACTAGAACATGGCACACATGTTGCCCTTCTTCCATTTCTTCTTCAGGTTCTTTTTCACTTTTCGCTTGTTTTTACTATTATATTTATTTTTATTTTTTATTTTATTTTTTTGTGTTTTTTTTGTCGTTTTATTATTCGACTTTCTCGCTAATGAAGTTGGCCGTCATCGGCATCATCTTCATTATGGTCATCATCATTCGAGAATGTAATAAGCGTGAAATAATTGACATTTAAGCAAAGCGCACGCACATTGAGACAATGGAACCAAGACACAACCGGCGGACAAGTCTCTCCCTCCCTCTCTCTCCCGCCTGCTGCCGCTCCCAGCATGCTTTGTAGGCCAACACCAGAGAGCGGTGCCCAAGAGCCAGCGCTTAGTCGAGAATCATGACAGATGACCGCACGTACTCGCTTCTCTCTTACTTTTACGGTCGCACGAACGGAACACAGCCAGAGCCACGGACCTGGACGAGATGCGGACGCGCTGTCTGTAATTCTGGTGCGGCTAYGTTTCTGGGGCATGAGCCAAAAATGTAAAATAATATAAGTTTGAACAAACAAAAAAAAAAAAATGTCTCAGTGCCTGACCTCACCTCATCAGTTCGCCGTCTCGTTTACCTATTTCTGTTGCCACTTTTATTCTTCTTCTTATCTTTTTTTGTTGGTTTTGTCGTTTTGCAAAGCGTATCATTTCTTTTTTTTTTTGCGGCTTGGCGTAGCACCTGTGCGCGACGCGGGGGCAGCCGCAGCAGCATGAAACATCTGTCAATGCGACACGTGATGTGTTTGCGAAATTTCAACACACACACAAGCACACACACACACGCCGCAAATTGGCATTTAAAGTGTGTGATAGTTGGGTGCCAAGGTAATCAGATTAGATGCCAAAATGATAGAGCGCCCGGAATTTTAGAATTATTGCGGCTGCGCCTGGTTGAACGCTTTGACCGTACAACAAATAAAATAATGTGCTTTTAATGATTAAATATTCGCTCTCTATTAATCGAAATAATGAGAATAGCTTTTATTAGTATGAGCAATTATTTTTATTAAAAATTATATTATATATATAGAGATGCTTATACTCTCTTTTTATTGAAATCAAAATTTAACTTCATTTGCAAATAATTATCGAGTTAGCTTTTAATGGAGTATTGGATATTGGACAGATATTTAGAGTTATTTGTTTGTTGAGATGAGGCTGAAGAATTATTTGATTATTGGGATGCGAATTTATACAGTCGAGTCTCGATAATTTACACCCCGCTAAATCGATAATCGATATATGAAAGGAAAGAAATTCCCTCTCAATAATTCTCGATAGTTTGAATTTCTGTGTAAGTTGAAAAATAAAACTGATCCCCTTGCCATTTCGAATCATCGGGACTCTACTGTACAATATTTCTGATTATCTCTTTGAAAACTCAATCTGAATAGAAGGGAAGGCATAGAAACATGAGGAACAATGAGAATATATATAAATAGAGTTGAAAGGAAGAAAGGAGAAGAGCTGGGGCTAGGATGTAACTGTCACATATCTTAAGTAAAGATCCACTACAGTAGCTATAGAGAGGATTGACCTCCGAGCCTTTCTCTAGTTCGCTTGGAAGATCTGTGAGCTGCTATAGTCTTCGCCTAGTTCTTAATTGAGTTGAAAGATCTTTTCGTTCGTCTTTCTTATATGGATAATATATCCAAAAAGACATAGATTATCATTACTATAATTTATACGATCCTCTATAACCATCTAGTAACCTATATAATTGATCATGTTAATTTTGATCTATATTTGTTAATGCATTCCCGGTTTTAGCAAGCGCACTACTTACTATATGCATACAAAATATCAAATGATACCATTTATTTCCGCACACACACACACGCATACAGCCATACATTGTCATTTATGAATTTCCTTTTGGTTCTTTTGTTACAGTCAGCGCCATCAATGACCTCAACTAACTCGTAAACGGTAAGTGCAAAATTGTCTGTAAAATGCATTTTAAACTCGCAATCAGATGCTGGGGCGAAGCTTGTGTAACGCAACCCTCGATTTCTCGTTCCGTTGGCTATTACATAGAAAATAGCATAAAACACACTCAATGCGCCCCCAACCTCGACCTTAGCGCCGGCGCTGGTCACGCCCAACGCCCCGTAATGCGGCGCCAACTAAATTGCTTTGCGGAACAGCTCAGCATCAGGCAGCCTTACCTATAAACCAAAATGAATGACTGAGCGAACGTCCCGGCGCGCCGCACTGCCCAAATGATGGGGAGGGGGGTGCGAGGGCAGCAGTCGGGCATCGGGGAGTGCAATATAAACGGCTGTGAATGCAAATAGATGTGCGTTGTGCGGCGAGTATATGCAAAAATCTCATGCTGACTGCAACCTCATCATCATCATCATCATCATCAGCAGCAGCAGCAGCACCGGCAGCGGCATCATGATCATCAACAACATCATCAACTCAGCAACAGCAGCGGCAGCAGCCGGAAAATGCAATCGCATCGGGCGGTCATAATACGCTCGATGAGCAGAAAGGCGCAAATGAAAGGGTTTTGGGGTTGATATGTGGTCGCGAGCTAGCCCTGGCCCTGGTCGGGCCACCGGCTAGTTGATGGTGCTAAAAAATGTTTGCCACAGGCAATGTCATCATCGTCTACATGCTCATCATCAGCAGCATCATGTGTGCGTGTGTGTGCGTGTGTGTCTGTGTGTGCAAATTTAAATGCAACATTTTGTATTTATTTTCCTCCCATTTGACTTTGACCACGCATAAAATCCGTCAGACCCCAATGCTGCCTGCCCAGCCCTGCCCTGCCCTGCCCTGTCGCCTCCTCTGCTATGGCATTTCGTTGAGCTTTTATTAGAATTATCTAGGAGGCGCACGACTTTCGTGCTTATGTGATGAATCAGTTTGTAGCAAGAGGGAACGCATTTAGCGGTTGCATCGAATGCGACTCTTATCGCATTACGCCATCTGCCGGCAGTTAAATGAGTTAAGCAGACCCGATTACGGTTAGAAGGATGCTCCATTAGAGCAACAGCAGCAGCAACAGCAGCAGCAGCAGCAGCAGCAGCCCCACATTAATCCGACCCACTTGCGTGGGCAAACAACGTAATTATATGCAACCGGATAGCTGACAAGCTCCTGCCTCTGCTATTTCACCTACTTTGACTGAAAACCTGTTTAGAGTTGCGAGCTGCCCCCTCGGGGCGGCCATCTGATCAGCGGGAATAAACACAATTTTAATGTTAGCTATAGATAACTGCATCAGGTTTATATCAAGCGTTGCCCAAGACCTTTAATTTATGCTTTCCTTCAAGCCACACTCAAGTAAATGGAATTAAATGTTTGACAAGCTGTTTTTAACTACGTAAATCGAAGTTTGCTTAAATGTTTTTTGGCAAAGCCTTGCTTCAGTTTATTCTACTTAAAAACTTGCAAAGTTCTTATTTGTTTAAGAAAGTTTGAACTTGATTGACTAGATAGAATAACTGAAATTATGATTCACTTAAAAGTTGCTTTTTTTTTTTAGCAAAGCAACAACAAGCTTCAAGCTGCCTTTTAGGCTAAAGTGTCTTACTACAAAGTTTGCACGCGATTTTCACTGTAAGCCTGATTGATTTTAAAGTTGAGCTTAAGCTTCTATCTTATTGATTAATCATAACATCATCTTAACTTCAGTAATGAATCACTTAATTTTATTGACTCATCGCTTTTGGGTAGAGGACTCGCTATGGAAACTATTAAAGGAGCTTGTCCTTGATTATGCTGCGCCTCCGCCTCCAGCTCCTTGGCTAATCGCCAATTGCCAACAACACGTGCTCAATTTGGCGCTCGTCTATACTGTTTATACCCTGAACCCATTTTCAATGGGAAATCAGGGTATAATGGTTTTGTTGAAATGTATGTAACAGGGAGAAGGAGKCGYGRCAGACYCCWCAAAGTATATATATTCTTGATCAGGGTGACGAGCTGAGTTGATTTGGCCCTGTCCGTCTGTCTGTCCGTCTGTCCGTCTGTCCGTCTGTCCGTCTGTCCGTCTGTCCGTATGTATGAACGCGTCGATTTCAGAAGATATAAGAGCTAGAGACTTCAAATTTTTTTTAAAATGTCCGTAATTACAGCGCGCATATCAAGTTTATCATTAAAATTCGATAACTCATCCCGATCTTTTTTTATCGATAAAAAACCTTATCGAAAACCAGTTATAAAATTATATCTTCTACACCTTTATTGCTAGAGTCTCCAAATTTTTAATGTATGCTTATATGCAATTTATACAATTTCGGTTTTTGTTAAAATTTACCCCCCACCCTTAAATTCACCCCCTCACCCTCACTTTTGTAAAAAGCGTATTTCAAATACTAGAGACTTGTGCTTTGGCAATTACATGCATATCCATGTTATAATCATAATCTGAAAGTTTCATGAAGATCGTACGTCCATAAAAAAAGTTATTAAACAATTAAGTTCTCATAGTAAGCGCACACTGCAGCCCATGCGTGTTTATGCGTGGGTGCTTGTGTGTGTATGTGTTTGTGTATGTGTGTGTNCTAGCTTAATAAACTTGCCATAATTGAGACCTTTATACATATATGCAATCAAATCTTCAGATTGATTTTTCAATTCAATTTTATTTAGATTTAGATAAAATAATTTTTTATTTTTTATTTTTTAGTCCTCATTCGATAAATTTCCAATATTTTCACTCTTTCTGTGAAATGAAATTTTCGGTTTGAGTTTCATTTCATTTAAATTTCGTTTGGATTTGAATAAAATCGATTTCTGCTGGGTCTAAAATAAAACAAGTTTATTTGCTGCTTTTCGTTTTGCTGCTAATTAAACTCTAGTTGCGTCTCGATTTCACTGTAGTTAAGTATCGATAGGTATTAGGTATCGATAGTTAACTATACGGAGAAATCCTCATAATGATTTTTTCAGGAGGTTTTTTCTTGAGTGGGGCTCGATATGCCTATCCGATTTCCTTTTGATGAACTTTTTAATTTATTTTAAATTTAAATTTAATTTAGATTTACAAAATTATTATCAGGTATTTTGGTAAAGTATAATAATAATACAATAATATAAAACCTCTGTAGAAATAGATATATATTATATAGAATCCGCAGCATATTTCTAGTTCCAAAACACACTCAGCGTCCTCGTCCGCTCGTCTGCAAATAGAGATCCGGCAATTCATGTCTTTCTGTTACACATGGCGCAATAAAACGTAGAGTAGCCGCTGCAAGAGTGTAAGCCTTATCTAATCGGCGTCGTAGTACGCTCGTACGCTTCAGCCAGCTGAAGTTTGCCTATCTCTGTGCCAGTGCAAATATTGTCACAAGCTGCCAGCGACGGGACGAAACGGACTAAGACGTCGTGCTGCTGTCGTCCAACTTATCAGATTTCCCTGCAAAACGGTACACGACGAAAGATTTCGCAGTAAACCAAACCAAACTGTGCAACTATTTGCACAACTAATAATTCACTTTAGTGTTTCATTTAGTTCAAATATTGATAATGCTTTAGCACAAATGCAGCTCAAATTTGTTGGCTCATCGGGACTGGGCTGTGGGCTGTGGGCTGTGGAGTGTGGAATGTGTCATAATGGCTCTGCCACTGGCACTCTTCTTATCATGCGCGAGACTATTCCTCTTTAGAAGCATGACATGGCCAAAACAAAAAAAAATTTAAAAAAAAAAAAACAAAATTTAAGTTTAATGTTTTTGAATTCCCCATAGACGATGATAAATACCCAAACAGCCATACAATGTACAATAATTTTTGTTGTAAAATTTTTATTGTATATAAATGTTTTTTTTTTGTTTTTTTTTCTTTCAAGAAAACATTTTGTGCCAGCTCACTGTTGAGTTCTCAGATTTTAGATCTAAGATCTTGGATCTTGGCATGCAAGTCATGCGACGTGTTTTCAAGGGGGGGAAGGTCTCGTTGAGCATTTCAGATGTTTTTATTGGGGTCTCCCCACACACAACACACAGTCCATACTATCTATGCCTGCATTCACGCTTATATGTATGTGTGTGTGGGTAAAATGTCAACATCATGTGGCAAGAAGAACCTCCATAAGCTGCTTAGCGTTGTTAGCTGTTGCCCATTTTTGGCTGGCTGTGATGCGGCCTGTGATGGCCTTGAGAATCTCTTTTGGCTTGTTTATGGCCACGTCTAAGCGTTCAATTGCTGACAATGTCCACAAAAAGCGAACAGAGGCTCCATTGAAAGCAGCTTTTCCCTTGATGCTCGCCGACATTTCAAGCTTGACGCTGAGAACTGAATTATTTGCAACTTGTTACCCATCAGTCAACTTCACAACTTCAGATGTGCTGCAAAAAGTTCAAAACACACACACACACACACACACACACATACACACAGCACAGCAGAGCCACAGCACAATTGCAGGCCATGAATTTCAATAAACCTTTGATTCACTTTGATTTCACCTCAGCCAATTTAGCTGCAGCTAGTGGCGGAATATTTTAATTGTTAACTTTCGAGGTGGGAATTTTAAACACTTTTGCTTAGAATGCAACCTATAATACAAATTTGCTTATTTCTAAATATCTAAATTGCAAGAGAATTTGATTCAATTTTAATATGGAAGCTCCCTAATACTTTCATTAGCTTCGAATTTTAGTTTAATACATAACTTTTAACTTTCATCAATTACACATGTTTTTTTAAGTTTATTTTATAGCCATCATAGTATATGAATATATATTGTATGTTTCAATAATTGAGAGAAAATAACTCAACTTCAATCCATATTGAAATTAAGTTTCCACAGCGGTCAATGACGTTCATTACAATGACTCAGCTTTGTCTGGAGTCAAATTATCTCATGTCATTAAAACTCCTTGTATGACAAAAGTTTCCCACATCTAAATTTTAATTGATTTCTATGTCAATTCCAAGAGAATTAAATGTTTCATTAAATTTCAATTTCA